GACGTAGATCAAATTATTATTAATAATTTTAATATTATTATTATTATTATTATTATTATTATATATAACTATATAATGCATAGTTACATTGTTAAGTGATTAATCCTGTTTAATGCTTCTATTATTTATTTTGTTATGCAGTTCACGTGTCGAGTTTCCTTTCTTCTTTCCCCCTTCCCTTCATTCCCACTATTAATATTTGTTTCAATTGTTTCTCTTTATTAAACATGGGATAAAAATAAAATATGTTTTGTATTTAAATATAATATCTACTTGTGATTTTTGTTCATTTAAAACAAATGCGATCGTGTTTAAATTAATATCTGTTTCAAGGGGTGTTTGTTTTTGATTTTTGTCAACGAGACAATTATTTCTCTATTCGATAGAATTTTGATCTAGTATAAATTTGTATTTTTGTATTTTTTTTCTTCCCCTTCTTATCCTTTCACCCTTTATTATACACCACCACTCGACCGTATTCTTTCTCGACGTGCTAAGAGCTTCCCTTTTCAATGAATGAGACTAATTGTGTCTCCCTATCACAAACTATCTTTTGTAACGATATATATATCTATATATATATATATAAAATATATATATACATATATATAAAAGGAAACAAAAAAAAAAAGAAGCGCTACGCGAAGTTTTTGTGTAAATTATTGACGATGACGATTGTGTATGTTAATTTATAAATTATGTTGTGTTTACAAATCGTGCCAGAAAGGAAAAAATGAGAAAAAAAAAAAAATGATAAAAAAGAAAATAAAAAAAACCAAAATATAATTTTTCAACGAAACACTGAGATCCACGGTTTTTCTTTGGTTCGTTGCTTATTTTTTTCTTACTTTTTCGTTGTTTTTCTTTGTTATTTTTGTCAACTCTTTCCGTCGTACAATTTTCTCTCTCTCTCTCTCTCTCTCTTTCCACTTTGATTTTATAATTTGAAAACAATTTTTATTCTAAACTCCTATCCTTGATCATTCACTCTTATCATTATTATTATTATTATTATTATAATTATTATTTTTGCCATATATTTGTGCTTCGCCAATCGACGATAAGCGGAGAAAACGAACAAACAAACAAACAAACAAATAAAAAAATAAAAAATATGAATCGTCAGACGTGCCTTTTGCAACGTGTCAGAAATCTACGAGTTTCGAAAACGTTTTACACGGTAGGCATTAACTTAAACATATCACTTTAAGGCTGAGGGATGATTTAGGATGAAAATGAAAAATACATATATGTTTAAATATAATATACACGTATATTATATATATATAAGGAATGGAAAAGCGTAAACGTCCAATGGGGAAGAAAATATTTTTTCAACAGAAAAGAAGAAAAACAAAAAATGAAGCGAAGTTTTTCGATAACTTACGCGAATTAAATTCGAACGAAACGAGTTGTTAAGTCGTATAATTTAATTTCAATCGTTGCTGTAATTTATATTATTCTCGTGTGAGACAATCCCTTCTTTATCCATTATTTTTGTGGATAAATTATTAATTAATAATTTATAATAAAATAACTCGCGAAGAGAGAGAAACTTGACGAGCTTATGTTCGTTATTAAATCGTTTTCTCGAACTTCGACTAAAAGTATATCGTTAATCTTTGTACCCAATTTCTAATCACGACGAATCATCAAAACAAATTTTCTCTTATCTCTGTACATCGAAATAAAACATTAATGCAAAAACAATCAGAATCCTGTATGTCGTTGCACTTTAAATGCTGGAATACATAAATATATAAAATATAAATACACAGACGTAAACACATATACATATATATATATATACGATAAACGTTTATTATTATAATTATTCCGATTGGTCGTTTTTCTCAATAAATACGAACTAAAGATTTTTCTTCAAATTCTTTTACATATTTATATCTTAGGTAAGTAACCAATCCAAAAGTTTCTTATGTAATGCAACAATATTGATAACAATGAACGTTATCGAAAATTCTATTACGAAAACAAATAATATAATCTATCAATCTAAAGTATATTCTATGGGAAACAGTTATGACAATAAGTTGAAGAATTAATAC